TTCTTTGATATCGTCAGATGTAGTAATCTCACATTTTCCTGTCAATTCTGATACACGGACACCATGTTCTGGCTATTTAAAAGAACAAATGATAAAATTTACAATGCACGATTATTCCTTTGCGCTAAAAAGGGATACACGTTGAAATGCATTCTACATTAATTACATTGTAAAAAGAACTAGAAATGGTTTGATACCACACTGGTACCTTTGCTTCATAACATTCCAACTTTCAAGCACAAACTTGATCTGAGTGTTGCATTTGGCGCAGCCTCTGAATACTTTGAAGACATTTGTCAAAATATTTTGACAATTAATAAAAAATGGCAGGTTTATGTTGGACAGGATTATTTTGACTTTAAAGGTACGAACGTTTCTTAAGCACGCGATATGTTCTTTGACTGTGATGCAGACACATTCAAAAAGGTTTGAAAATCCATCATGTACTGACATAAAGAATAACCTGGCATGATTAAATCTTTGACGTCTGACCTCGAAAAAAAAAAAACCAATTACAATATGTACAATTTATAACCTTGTCTTATTTCAAAATAAGTGCTTATAAACCTATGACGTTCTCAATAGTTATATTTTGAAAAGAACAAATATAAACAATCTAAAAATATAAAATTTGACATTAAAAAAATAAATATTTTTGGAAATAATGGGAGGTAACAAACATGCAAATTTGGGGGAAACATATTAAAAAACCGATACAATGTAAGATCTTTTTAAATAAGTAATATTTACACTAACATAAAACTTTAGAATGAGCCAGTGTGACCTTGACATTGAGCAGATGGAGCCCAAAAATGCACTTTGCATAAAACAGCCTCCGGAATAAGTTTTCAAATCAGACATTTTCGCAAACTCAGCTACCCTTTATAATATAATTTCAATACAAAAAGTTAAATCAAACTATAATTTGGATAAAAAATAGACGATTATTGGCCATTTATACAAAGATAGGGCAATAATATAACGCTGGGTGAGCTTTCAAAGTGTGACCTCCCATGTTTTTTTTTCAATTCTCCCTCGGGGTTTTACGTGTCCAGCAGGGACTTCAGTGGGGTTAAAACCCCATTTTCTTAAGTGGAAGAATAAAACCGTGGGAGGAAAAAGATTTAAAAAAATACATGTGTTGAATGTATAAAACTTATAATAAACTTATAAGTATACGAGGAATACATTTAAAGAATATTAAAATTCTCCCATTAGCTGAACATACCCATTTAGTAAATGGGAGAAATCTCCCAAAATTAAAATGGTGCGGAAATCTCGCAAAATTAAAATAGGAGAACTCTCCCATTACAGCGTAATTGGAGAAATACCACATTAGAGCGTAATGTGAGAATAACGTAATGTGAGAATTCATCCATATCATTTTGGTTTATATATCGGATCGGAAGTTTAACAGTAAAAGTTTTCCTACATGTTAATATTCGGTTCCGACATTTTTAAAATGAAACAGGTCCAGTCCAATTATTAATTAATAAATTTTATAAATTTATTTATTTGTATATTAATTAGTTAATTAATTAATTCTACATCAATAAATAATAAAATAAATAAATAAATAAATAATTAAATAAAAAAAAGAATAATTCCATAAATAAACAAATTCATTCATTCATTCATTCATTCGTTCATTCATTCAATTAATTATAAAATTGATGACTAGATAGAAAATAAAGAATTAAATTAATAAATTGATAATTTAATAAATTAATGAATTAATAAACTTATTGATTTATTAGTTAAATGAAGAAATTAATAAATTAATTAATTAACTAATTAATAATTGATTAATTAATCAATTGAAAAATAAACAGATTAATATATTAATAAACTAATAAATAAATTAATTAATTACGTAATTCATTTATTAATGTTAGCGATGTCCAATTAGTCTGATATTGAATTAGAATAGATCTGAAATATTATGATTTCGATTGGATGATTACCTTAAGTTTCATAAACAGTATGACAGTCACCTGTACATAAAATTTGGGTGCGGTGTGGTCAGTGCAGTTCTATTTACCAATTAAAACAAAATACTTATCTTTCGGATTATGACTTGATTGGATTGCAACATAAATGAGTGGCAGGTCTGATTGTCCCCTAAAAGAATGTTGACACCACTTGAACGTGTGAAAATCATAATCATTGAAGGTCATAAATAGGGTATGTAAGTTTCGTCATGTGACTTGCGAGATTTCACGATATTTTGCACTTCCCGGTACAAACAAATATCAACATCATTGCTAATCTATATTGGGTAATACTTGTATGCCGGTAAGAAAGCAAAACTTACACGGAAAAGCAATGGATATGTGGAAATTGGCAAAGTTTTTTTTATTTGTAACGAAATGCAAATGGTTTCATCTTGTGAACAAGTAGATCTTATCAATGAAAGCCACTTCGTATAATCTTCAGGTGGGTGTGTCATTTCGAATTCAGTTTATCGCAATAAATGCTGTAATATTTTCATTTTTCTATGTAAATCTAATAAATTTGTTATTTGATACAAATTATTCGCATCTGACTTCAGACTGGTGAATTTGATTTTATCAATTTTCTTTAGCGCAACCTGATTATCTCTCAGAAATATAATGTTTAGAAATTTCGGACAGCACATATTTCGGATAGAACGTTTCAATATGATTATTAGCGTGTTTTAGTTGAATATATTTTCTTATCACTGAAAATTTTATTTATTATTATTATTATCTTTATAAAGCACAAGCAGTCAAGCTATATAACCAATTTAAATTGTCATAAAATTTGATGAAATATTTTACTCCTGTAGATATTTAGACAGAGGACAGTGGTTAGATGAAAAACGTCAGTATCCGATGTATATACACATGCATGACATGATGTAGCTACTGTAAAGTCGTTTTGGTAAGATATATACTTAAAGCTACTTAAACTACATAAATGAAAAACATATATTCGTGTATAACATAAGGTTCACGTTTTTGTAAATAATAACAAATGTACAGTGTAGCTAAATAAACAATCAGTACAGTGTAGCTAAATAAACAATCAGTATGGCATATGTAGTTTATTCATGCTGAATACCGATTAAAGTATTTTTTTTCTCAAGTCAGTGGGTCATTTTTTAGTTAAATCATGTTCAGAAAATGGTTTCAAAAACTTAGACACTATCATCATTTGTCAAAGCAACTCTACAATGTATATAAACTAGGACACCAATGTATATAAACTAGGACACCAAGAAAGGTTTCTTCCTTTTCAACAATATTTTCTATTCATGACAATATTTTTCTTGGAAATGATTGAAATTAATAGCTGACTAATTATTATTACTTTCAACTCATGATAAATTTTCTTTATATGCAGGTTTGTGATTTCATGGTTGGATCTTGAGTACTTGTCATGGCTCTTGATTTATTTTGGAGTGTTCACCATCAGATTAGAAACCAAATAGTGATACCACTAGACATAGTTGAAAGGGAATGTCCATACACAGCCTTGGAGTACATAGTAGTAGAGACATGGCAGTCCATTACAGATTTTTGACTGAATTAAAGCTTCTTAAAGCTCCATGGCTTGTGTAAACTGTCTGACTGAATGTTTGTATTCTAATAAAAACTAAGGTTGAAGACACGTCAAAGACATATGTCAGTGAAAAAATGTTAAACAAAATATCTGTCTTTCAAACTCTTTGTTAGAAATAAATAACCTGTTATAACTTTGTATTAACTGAATTATATTCAAAGATAATTTATCTTCTGCAAATGGCTGTCCAAAACAGTTTCAACCAGGCATCATCTAGTTTCAAAACAGTTAAGATAAATCTGTTAAATGGTAAAAAGATAAATGTTCTGCATTAAAAGTTTTCTATCTTGAATTAGTTTTATTTTATATCACCATGATCACTGAAATTGTAAAAGTAATGTTATCTTTTAAACATCAGTTTTAATTGATTCAAGGGAGTTTTTAATGACACATAATGCCACAGAATTGCTTTTATTTTTATTCTTCAAAAGCTTTGAATTTGGTGTCCTGATATAGTTTTCAAAAAGTAACTACTTGCAATTACCTGGACCATCATTTGCTTTTGTTTTAAGCAGTTAGTAAAGTTATTTTGATTAAGTATTTTGTATGAAATATATTTTGTTTAAATTTTGTTACTTTTATGATAAATAATTTATTTACTGCACTTCTTTCTTCAGGTTATAAGCATGTGACATGCTCTAAAACCATTATTTTAATATCAAAGAAAACTTGTTTCTGAGGCAAGATGTGTAAAATTCATTCCACAAAAAGCCTTTCACTGCTCTTAGAAAAAGCCATGGTTTACATTGTACATGGCAGGTAGTAATACCAGAGTAAACAATATTAATGCAATTCATCTGGGTTGAGTATTAAGTAGCAAAACACTAACTTGCTAGCCCTTGAAAGCCCAAGTCTGTCTCTTAATCAGAAAATTGGAGAAGACATGCAATTCTGCATTCCTTGAAAGATTTTAGTCTCAGGGGGACAGTTATTACATACCATATACTTCTTTGTGTTTCAAATTACCTGTAATATAATGTATTTAACCTGTTGACATTTGACTAAAAGTGAATTATCTATACAAAACATGCAAAACTTACGGTTTGCACTTGATACAATACAACTACATCACTGATACATTAATATACCCAAATTGGGAATGTTTCAAAATTGTCAATGTTTCAAAAAAAAAATCAATGCTTTTAACTTCTGTCCATGTACATAAAAGTAAATGTAGTCATTGAAGAGCTATAAAGAACTATTCATCAATATTATTTAGATAGTGTCTGTTTCGATTTCAGGCATGACATGCATAGTATTTACTGCAATCTAGCCATTGCTTTTAGAGAATTTAAGTACACACTTATTTTGCAGATAAACCCTTATGATCAAGAACAGCAAATAGAAGAATAGAAGAAACAAAAAAAAAAAAAAAAAAAAAAAAACAAAAAAAAAAAAACAGTTTATAAGTTTGATAAACTTTTATTTTTACACAAATTATAGTCCACTCCTTTGCAAATATATCACACTGATTTTCCAGTGGAAAAAAAAACTTCAGGAAAGCACTTGAAATTATTATTAGTTATTTGGACAATGTGACTTTACACTCTGAATGTCTACTGATACAAGAATAGGCATATTTCCTTTTACAAATGTAAAGACTTTGAAAATTTACACGAACAAACTATCATGAAGTTATAAATCATATTCTAATTGAAAAATGGTCAGCTTGGTATCAAAAGTTTGAATGCAATTTGTAAGCTTATCAATGATTACACTAACAATATTAGATGTAGATGATATATAATATTTTTTCTATTTTGTTTTCCCTTTCATCTTTACATCATAGTCATTTAATGTGATTCCATGAAAGTTTTTATCTCTGGTGTGTTTTCTACTTTGGTAAACTTAAAACTGCAATGAAATGTGGATATTTGACTCTGTTTCTATCATTGTGACATTAACAAGTTAACTAGATTATAGAATCATAGTGTCAAACACTATAAAATCATACTCTTTTACATTAAGATTTTTGTGCTGGATGTCATTCACTTTCTTCAGAAAAGTACATTTGACTATTCTCAGTGGCTTATATTAAACTAATATTTCACTGTAACTGTGTGTTCACTGATATAATTCTCAAATTAAGGAACTGGAAGATGGTAGTTGCAATAAAGTTCTTCCTGGACAAATTTTCCTTCATCTTTTCCTTGTTATCTGCAGAAAGAAAAATCAATAAATATGTTGTTATAAGTGTAAGACCTGAATATATTTCACTGAATAAAACACTAGAAATGATATTTACATTACTTTTAATAAGCTGGCCATGATTGACAGAAAATTTCATATTTGAAGTAAATAAACATTAAAGATAAACAACAACACATAAAATATAACAGTCAAAAATATTTATCTTTAATTTGAAACATGACTTTTTTCATGTTTTATTTACTTATCAAGTATCATGCAGTGAAATCCAAAAATTATTAAAATATTTTTTATCTAATTTAAAAAGTAATCAATTATTTTACATGTATTTACCTTTGATGTATAGATATTTCAGGATCATAGGCAGTGCAAACAGTTGATTAATGGTCCATAGTGAACATTCTTGTCATATCCTCCCTGTCTATACATCTGAAATAGTTTATTCAAATATTATATTTTTTTTAATTCAATCATAATTTGCTAGGTACCATATTCACATGTATATAAAATTGAAAAAGTTTTAGTGCCTTGATAGTTGATACTATTCTCCATAGTTAGAAATGGATCTATACTATTTAACTTTGCATACATCTATGATATATCCTTTCTGATTTAATTATCAAAACTCTTACTTGAGACCTGGGATTTATTATACCAATATAAGTATTGAAATTTTGATAAAAATGGAAGGGAAGATATATCCGAATTACTGTGCAATGTCCGAATTTTGTATAACTTTAATATACACTAGAATTAAAGCGTTTCTCCATTGTTCATTTCAATAAGTAAAAGTGATTTGAATAAATTTCTCACATTAGTAGTTTTAAAACAATACCAAAAGCTAAACAACTAGAATTCACTACCTTGACAAAACATCCGAAACAATTGTCACTATCCGAAAATAAACTAGTTTTATAAAACTCTATTAATCCCTCGGTTTTTCGTCAGATAATTTACCTACCTGCATATTTTTACCCGTGCTTTCCATTGCTGACAATCTGAAGAGGTTCGAAACAAATCTAACTTCTATATATCTCGAGTTCTTCGGGGTAACCTATATGCGTAATGGTAAATATGTCTGCCGATGTACCCGGAAGAGGAAAATCGAAAGTGAAAGTAAACGAGACTTACGGACCTATTACGTATCATATAACGCATTCTTTTTTTCACGGAGATCAATTGTTTATAAGTTTTATTACCGTTCATGATGGGGCTTTTTCATAACAGCATAAAAAAACACAAAAAAGAAAAGAAAAAAAAATAAAGGTTTAAAAGAATGATAAAAATAAAGAAAGAAGAAAATGAAGATGTTGATCATTTGAAAAAGAATAGCTCATGTAAGTTAACAAATTATACATACATGTACGCCGTAAATTGCATAGTTTGTGCGTTTAGAATGTTTTTTGTCTGTTGCATTGATATCTTTCTTTCTTTGTTTACAATCCAGTTGAATAATTGAAAGGCTATTTGTGCAAAAAACGGCGTATTTGAAAATCGTGTAGGCACGTTCAGTAAGAGCACTTAAATATCAAAAGCATTTTTGTTTACATAAATATAACTTGTACAACACGCCAATTGAAACAAAACAGCATATATTGTGATGTATTAGGGAGGAAAAAGAAATTCACATAAGTATAACTGACATGAAGGTTAACAAAATTAGGCAGGGATATTCCTACGGTATCAATTAAAAATGGCGGCAGAAACTACCTATTACTTATTTATTTATCATTTATTTGTTCATTCATTCATTCATTCGTCTGCTCGTTCGTTCGTTCGTTCGATCGTTCACTCACTCACTCACTCACTCACTCACTCACTCACTCACTCACTCACTCACTCACTCACTCACTCACTCACTCACTCACTCACTCACTCACTCACTCACTCACTCACTCATTCATTCATTCATTCATGCATTCATTTATTCAATTATTAATATGTGTATATAAATAGATAGTGTAATAAATAAATGTATTAATAAATTGATTTATTCAGGAATTAATAAATTCATAGATCAATAAGTTAATAAATTCATTCATTTATTAATGTTACCAATGTCCATTTAGTCAGATATTGAATTAGAATAGATCTGAAATATTATTTTTTCAATTGGATGATAAGCTTAGCCTTTTCCCTTATATAAGCGTGTTTCGAAGGCTTTTTGCCTCCACCCTTTTCTGAGGCCTCCAACAATGACACAATGTCCTATTTAGGTCCCAAACACTGTTTTTCGTTTGAGAAATGTTGTTAAAAAAGTGACCACTTTTACGGCGCCGTCCCCCGTATAAATGTTAAATCAGGGGGTTGCCAGAAGGGGGATGTGCCCCCTTCTGTTTTTTTTTTTTTTGGGGGGGGGGGGGTTAAAGGGGGTGGCAGCCCCCCTCATCACCAAGAAAAAATTGGACATGTGACAGGCTAAAAATAGCCTCAGGTCGATCTTGTATTAATTAGCATATTTTTTTTTTGCCTGTGGCATGTGTTTCTCGGCTTTTCTATGTGTTACAATGCTAAGCGAATACTTTCATCAGTGTATTTTATGATATATTATCGAATAAAAAATGGATATTATTAAACCCATTTCATCAAATAACAATCAATAATTGTTAATATTGCTGAATTAATATGTTTTTCGATATTTTTTTGGTGTTTTTTGGCAATTCCCTGCACCCATTTATATAAGCAGATTAAAATATTTCCTATTTTCTGAACATAAATTTAATGCATTATTTCTTAATGCTTACACTGAGTTTCAAATGATTATTTCTTATCGTCGAATGGCCACATATGCCTATAATTTTCGCTTCATGCTCTGGCTTAATCGTCAATTATCAAAGTTCGACGAATTGTTTTGGGTCGAATGGTCGAGTGACCGAATCTTTATTTTTACCCGTACTGAATCAGGCAATATTCGCTGAATTTCGAAACATATTTATTTTCAAATATCTAAGGAATATAAAAGTGAAAGGAAAATCATGTGTTAAAAAGGTATTCAAAAGAATAGCTTACGAAATTTCTATTTTTCGAAGCCACGATTACTGCCAGGTTTAAAAACAAAAAATCCGATATACGCTGGTAAATTTTGTTACGGAGTTCCATACTCATTTTGTAAAACATTTTAGGCCAATTTTATTGCATAAATGTAAATCAGGAATTTTATTTGATTAAATATCTATCTGAGATGTTTGGTCCCATTTATATAATTCTAACGACTTTATTATGTTTATAATTTACTCATTCATGCTAGCAAGCGCAAGTTTAACGCATAGGTATTATAAACTACGATTTTATCAATTAACTCTTATTTTTTGTATTATTTAAAGGAATGTAGAGTCTATTATTTCATGAAAATAAACGATTTGGAACTTTCAAAGCATTACAACAACTTTGAAAATCTATTTAGAACAGAAAAAAACATGGCTATTCTTGACCACAGACCTTTAAGCCGTTGCTAGTGGCGGGCAGTAACTTGCACTTTCCAGAATCATCCGTAAACAGACTCAATAATTTGCTATTTTCAGGCATATGCATTCAATTTGCTTTCGCCTTTTTGATCAGATTTGTAGTGCTTACGGTACCATTTTCTATCGAATCACTAGAATTTTATCATCTTATTCCATTAAAAGTTATATACAAGGACCATACACTTTTTGACATGCATCATGGTCAAAACTACTTGTCAATTTGCTATAATGTTCTAATTGTAAATAAATTGTGAGAGTTTGGGGATGTGTGTTTATTTGTTTGATTGGGTTTTACGTCGCACAAACGAAGTAAAGGTTACATGGCGGCTTTCCATCTTTTCTGGTGGAAGACATCAGGTGCCCTTCCGAGCATTAGTTCAGGCCTATGCGGACAACTGCTTACCTATTACCTCTCAAATGATAAAATCAGTCACCCGTTTCCCGCGGGGGAACGCCATGGTCAGTTGGTCAGTATAAATTAACCTCCAAAAATAATAGACGTTTTATCATTTTTTAACGTCATCTTTTTTACACAATGACTTGAAAATTGACCACAATCATCTCCTTAAATGTTATTATACGTTAAATTATTTGAACGGAATTTGAAATAAAAAATAATTACAGCTGTACCTGTTTTTGTTGTTGTTTTTAATACTTTCGTTATAAACGTCCACAAAACTATTCGTCCACATACCAATATTTTTACATTCAACTGAAATCGTCATTTATCACTGTCATCTTTACTTGTTCATTTCTTGTGGTTCTATAAGTATTATTGCTTTTAAACTATATGGGAGCCATAAATATGATACTTAGTAAAAAAAGGACATTTGTGCTGATTTCTCAATGATGACTGACGCTACAGTACATGTCCTGTAAGAGGTAGATGAGTGTGAATACAAGACAGGACATAAATAAAATACATGTACATATATTAGAAATAAAAGAAAAATATATTTAAACCATCTATAACAATTTATTTGTATGCAATTATATTCTTTAAAAACGGGTAGACTTGTTTTTTGTGTTTTTTTTTACAGTAAAAATCCCGTCGAAAATGGACATGAGAAATATGCATGACACTTGCCAAAAAGTTTATGTATACTGTACATACCGTATATATATTTGACACAAATTCAAAAAGATTCTCTTTGCCATCATGTCAGATATTGTATATTGTCATATTTTTTATGATCAACATGCAAATAAACAGAAACAGTAAAACGCATCTGGCAATTGAAAGAGACGTCCTGGAACATTGCCTGAATAAAATTGTTGAGGGTTACGTTTTCAAAGTTTTTAAATAAGAAACAAAAGCTGGCATATAAATTGTTGTAGTATCTTTTTCATAAATGTCATATGCCGAATTTTTCATTATTTGACTTCAAGTTTCTCAGTACCATGAAGTTGCGACGACAATGATTTATCTTGATGTCGAATACATATTATACATTACCCAACACAATAACAAGAAGAAAAACAAGAAAAAACACTGCATTTGTACATGTACTTTTATGACAACAAAAAAGAAAGAAAACAAATTGGCCACGAGATAGCTAAGTCTTTCGACGAGAGACTATGTCGTGGCCACGAGTTACTTCGTGGCCACGAGTTACATCGTGGCCACGAGTTACTTAGGCGTGGCCACGAGATAACTAAGTCGTTGCCACAAGATACTATGTCATGGCCACGAGTTACTAAGTCGTGGCCACGAGTTACTAAGTCGTGGCCACGACATAGCTTAGTCGTGACCACGAGATACTATGTCGTGTCGAGTTACGAAGTAGTGGGAACGACATAGCTAAGTCGTGGCCACGAGATAATTACCCAATCAGAATACACTTTTTATATTATGATTTTTTTAAACCTTACGTCAGAATTTTACATGCAACATTATTCTTTCAAATACTGAAGATATTCACTTTGAATCATATTAGAAAGTCACCTTCCAATGCCTATCATATATTTTTTTAATATAGCTCTTTGTTTGAAAAATTTTGTGATCAAATTAGTCAGTGTGTACGTACCACAGCCTGTTAACCTTGTTCATACGATAATATAAGAAGGAATAAGCCCTGGTTTATTTTATTTGGAAGGGACATTGCCCGTGGACATATAAGGTCAATTCCTTTATCTGATGAATAATCAAGAAGGAATAAGCCATGGTTTATATAACCTAGAAAGATCGTTGCACCTGATCAGTAGATGACATTTAATAATTTCGAGGTCTTTGGGTCAAAAATAAGGGTCACGGTGACGCTAAATGTAAAATTATCGACTAGTCAATAAGTAGTAAAAAATGGCACTTTTACAGGCTGGTTGGAGAATCTTTGTACTATAGCACATGTCCAGTTGATTATGGAAATTCATATATTAGTATGTAGTGTAATCTGATTGGTTATTTATCTCGTGGCTAAGACTTAGGTATCTCGTGGCCACGACTCAGTAACTCGTGGCTTCGACATAGTATCTTGTAGCCACGACTTACCTATCTCGTGGCCAAGACTAAGTTACTCGTGGCCACGATATAGTATCTCGTGGCCACGACTTAGCTATCTCGTGGCCACGACACAGTAACTTGTGGCCACGAGATAAATAAAAACACACACATGTAACCTTTGTGCCAC